ACACACACACACACACACTTCACCTGATGTGCCCTCACTGAGTCTGAATTGCTTTTATCAGTAGTCATCTGCACAACTTGTGTTATTGTAGTTGTGTGTGTTAGTTATGAGCAGCCATATCTGTGTTTTCTGCTTCAAAAATGTGCCACCTGCTCTGTTAAGTGAATTCACAGTTAAACAGAGAGGAGGCTACAGCGTGAGGTCAAAATGTGAGTCAGTGTAAAAAAGGAAACACCAGACCGTGTTGAGTTTTACTGCATGTGGGACAAACTGTAAATTAAAAAAACTCAGTGTGATTCATCAGAATTCACACATACTAAGATAATCACTGTAGGCGTTGAAACCTGTGTGTGTGTGTGTGTGTGTGAGCAACATGAGTCATCGTCTGAAAAGGTTGCACCACCTGTACAGTGTGTATTGTAAGTGTGTGTGATGTGCATGGCGATGGCTGCAGTGTGGCAGGAGGTCAGTGTTGTTCCTCCGGCAGTGGGAATAAGGATGATGGTCATTGGTTTAACTGCGTTTGTGATGTCTGTGCCGGCCCAGAGGGTGACTTATAACCGAGAAGAAACACTTTATCTGCACTTCTATTTCTTTAAACTTCATTAAAATGAATCTTTAATTAAGTTTGAGTGGGAAATGGTTTGAAAATATGCGTAAAAGTCTTGATTTGAGCAGACTTCTCCCATTGGCTGAGGAGGTGGTTGGCGCATATGAAAAAATATTCAGTTAAAGCTGATTGCTGTGTGATTTGAGCAACCTTGTCTCCTAAAAATGTTTTTTTTTTCTTTAGAATTAAATTGCTTTCCCATTTATCCTTGCAAAGAAATCTAATTTTGTTTTCAAGTTTTTGCGTAGTAAGAAAGGCTTTTAGTTTGAAAGAGCCACAGGGTTCACAAAAGGAGGTCGGAAGGGAGGTCAGCAGTGCTCTTCTTTCACTCAGGGCTTTGACCCCATGATGCTTTGGCCAGTGTTTTTGTGTATGTATGCGTAGAAGATCGATGAAAATTTGTGGGCAGTAGTGCGTGCTCAGAATATGCAGATATGACCTACCGTACATGTATGGAAAGAAGTCTTCCAAGCTGACTGCTATTGACTAGAACAGTAGTTTACCAACAAATACATGCTGATGGGTGTTTGGATCTGTCCTTGTGTGCAACCACTCCGGAGTAAAATCAAGGCTGAAGTCAGCAACAGAACTTTCACCCAGGAGATGGATGTAGTGTTCTTGGGCTGACTTTACACTTTCCGTGAGTTCATGACAGTCTGCTAGGGTTAAATTCTATCATCACCCCAAACCTGTGAGAATCTGCACAGACCCCTACAAAGGCAGTGGTCCACCTGCTCAGCACATAGCGTGTATGTGTGGAATATGGAGACACAACCTACTGCGCATGTGTGCAACTGAGCGCCAGAAAAGTTGTAAAATAACAACAACTATCTGTGGATGCCTGCAGCTGTCCTGGTGTGTGTCTTCACTGGTCGAGAATAAGGCTTAAGGCCGGTGTTATGCTTTCCACACTGACAAATATGAGGGTCTGTGCAGACCCTTCAGTGGATGTCCAACCTAAATTTTGTGTTGATGTAGTAACAAGAAAGGGCAATAGCATGGATGCTCAGCAGGAATGTGTGGAATACATAGATACGACGTACTGCTCATGTATGGAACAAAGTCCTCCATGCGGACTAACAGACTCAAAAATATTAAAAAAGCAACAATTGCATGTCTGTGGTGTCTGTGCATGCGTCCACAAGAGACTACGGTCAAGGCTTAAGGCTTAAGTTTTATTTTCACTCGCTGTTTGGTTATGTTTAAGCTCCAAAACCACATGGTCAGGTTTAGAAAAATAGGACAATTTGGGTTAAATCTAATCTAATATGGGATTACTTGGCTGAAAAGGAGCAACATTAAAGCAATAAAAAATTGGAAACATATTTGCGATACATCACAAAGAATCTGGCAAAAATAGGTTATCAAAATGTAAAGTTTAATTGGTTTTGATGTGCTATGTTTGCTATGACTTTACCAGTTTGAACACCTATAAAAAAGACTGTTCGCTTAGCATTTATTCAGATGTAGCAGCAGAATACATATTGTACCGTACAGTCAGTGATTTAGGTATTTTGCTTTTAACATAAAACACAGAAAACTGTTCAAATCGGCCGTGTTTATTTTTGGAGTCCTTGTAGTGAAAATGTTAATGCAGCACACTGTGAACCAGGCTTATAATAATGTGGAGGATTGTTGTGCTCTTGACGCATTAATAAAACTCCCATTCATTCATTAATTCCTTCCACAGTCTACTGGGATAAGATTTGGCTAAAAGCTGCTGATAACACTGCCTTTCTCATCCAGATGCATCCCTCCTTTATTCTCCACCCCTGCTTGCCTGCCAAAAAAAAAAAAAAAAACACCCGCCTATTTCATTAAAGGATGATTAAAGTGATTTATGATTTAATTCATTTTTTAATGACTCTTGCAGTCATTTTAAGGATGAATCTGCTCCAGGGTTGGGGTCAGCTCAAGTTCGTTCCTCTCACGTTACAGTGTGACTTGACGTTGGTAAAAATGTAAAAGACACAGCTGTCTATATTAAAATCCTTTATATGTTTTCGTTATTTAATTAATTTTTAATCAAAAGAAAATCCAGATTGACCTCACAGGGTGTAGCCGGCCTATGTGTGGACCTTCACAGTATTTTAACATTTTAATAATGTAATTACCCTATTAATTATGAGAAATTGGTATGATTATTGTAAAAATGCCTTAAAGATTTTAAGCAAAAGGGTTTAACACTACCAGTACCGGGATTAAAGAGGCTGCAGGACTGTTTAGCCAACCTGTGTCTGATTTTATATGATTCCGGCTTACTTCCTGAAGCATTTCATTAGGCCATCATCCTCACGCCTGGACTTCATTTGTGTAAATTAAAAGCCATTTTTGCCTGCCTTCTGCTAAGTGGGTCACTGGGACTAATCTCTCAGTCTGTCTCTCTTGTTTTTTTGTGTGATTGGAAGCCTCCAGTCATTCCATTCATCATTTATCTGCCACACATCTCAGCGTCTTTCTCCCACTTTTCTGGCTTTTTGCTCATCGTTCAGCGTCTCTCAACGTCTCCGATATTTACACTCTCCCCTTCATTTACCCTCCCCTCGCCCTTCCTCCATCTTTCCTTCTATCCTCCTGTCCCATAAATGGACCGTGAAAATCCCATCAGAGTACAGGAGTGAGAGGGCGTTGATAAGTAATGAGCAGCGTATGAATAAGAGATGGCCGCCACTTAGTTAATATGGTGTCCTTCATGTCGAAGGAGATCGATGGCTGGCTGTCTTCCTCGCTCTCGGGCTGCACTCGAACAGGCGACAAACAGCGCCTGCACAACTAAAACGGCTGTTGAGTTTTTGAAGTGTCACTCAGTGAGGTCAATACTGTGTAGAGTGTTTTATTTTGGCGGATTGCTCTGTTTTTCTTTCACTGGGTTTAGCGTCATGTCACTGACATCCTGCTTCTTCAGTTCCTCTTCTCCGAGTTATTGAAAACAAAGACTTTTCTGAGGAATATCAGAGTGGTGGGTGTTTTGTGAAAGCCTTCCTGAATCATGATTCTGTTGCAGCCAAATGAATTGATTGATTATTTGATTTTAAAAGTATCCCTCTTCTCCTGGTGCTCAGCCTGTGCTCACTTAGATCACACTAAACAACAACCAAGAAGAGGGCATAACTACTTCCACTTAAGAGCTTCTTTTTTTGAGTTTTGGTGACCTCTATTCATGGTTGTGCTGTTTCCATAAAGGGGCAGGACTTTATAGTACAGTAAAATATGAGCCCTTAGTGAGTAAAAATGGTTAAAACTATTAAAAGCAAGGTTGCCAGATCAGACCTTTTACATTCTGAGAAAGAGCTGCAATGGATTTAGACCAAAATGAAATTTATTAAGTAAATATCAAAGCATTACTCACAGTATTATCAAAGATGTGCGAATCCATTTGTCTTTTGGTGACTTATGTAGCAAATGAGCCAGTAAATGATGTATTAACCTTTAATAAAGCAGTTACTGATGTTGCTCCAAAATGCTGACTCGCTTGCTAGATAGCAGATTACAGATTAGAGAAGAAATGTTTCATATCCGTGGGTTTTAACTATGTTTTTAAATCAGATTATAGGTTTTTTCTAATATATTTTGACACTACCAATGCTAAAATCATGCATGTTTCATTTCCCCTTTACGCGTTATTAATCTTAAGAATGGCTTATTAAACAAATTTGGATTCTTTCACTATATATCTTCAACTAGCCTTTGGTGTTCTTAATCCATATTAGTAAAAATTAGATAAAACAGA